CATATCATGTTTTATGTGAGGAAGCTGGTTTTTTTATAGTATATCATCTAACTATATATTTTAGAAATGTGCATCTGTCTGTCCATCTGTGAATCTGTTTGTTCAAGAACTCCTCCTAAGGGGTAAAAGCAATGGCCACCAAATTTGGTATGCAGCTTCCTCTTATCCTAACAAGGGAAATGGGAGGTGCCAGGAATGGAACTGTTTTCCAGAACATGGAGAAGGAGAGGGTTGAGGGAGGAATGGATGTGATACTCTCAGTCATCAATGGGGGCATCGGGCACAGGGGAGGGCTGTACTGCAAAGTGGCCACTGCAGGTAGCTGCACCACCAAGGGTACGTCTGTACAGCGTCTGTTATCCCGGAATAGCGTTCTGTGCATCTTAACAACAAGCATTTTTGTCTAGAAATGGGTGACAAGAGAGGGGTCAATTGGTGATTACCTGTTCTGGTCCCTCCCTCTGGGGCATCTGGCATTGGCCACTTTCGGCGGACAGGATACTGGGCTAGATGGACTGTTGGTCTGACGCAGTATGGCCATTCTTATATTATGTTCTAAGCCTGTTATTTTGAAATAATGGGCTTGTTTTTCCAATGGCCCATAAACCTTGTTGCACGAGGATTAAGGGACTCATCGGCATAGTGCTCTATTTTAAAGAGCTGTGTAGATGATGCCAAATTTTGGAATATGCTACACAATGCTAGCTCAAATTGCATCGTTTATTTCAAGCTATGTGGCACTGTGTAGACGTACCCCTAAGAGAGTGACCAGCAGAGCTGGGGCTCGCTGTTTTGCCTGCTGCTTGTTTCTCCCCACTGTTTCAATGATACAGCTAAAGTAGGCTCCCAAAAGGAGTCTCTTTTATTATTTTAAATTCACTCCAGTGTATGCTGAAATGTCTTATAGCTAGACTGTGCTATGGGCCAAGAGCTGAAATCACTGGGTTTTGCCCAGAGCCAAATCTATCAGGGCGGCCAGTGGGAGCAGCAAGCAGCTGGCAGGAATGTTCGGCAGAAGCAGCAGGGTGGCTGCAGTACGATGAGCAGGGCCGACTTTCGGAAGTGCAGGGCCCAATTCGAACCATTTCGACAGGGCCCTGGCAGCCAGGATTTTTTTGTTGACCCAAAAAAAAAACCCACACAAATAATTTTGGTTGAGCTAAAAAAACAGCACACAGACAAACAAGTCACAGCCACTTTAAATCTCCAGCTACAGTCCCACCTTCCAACCAAACCGAGAGGACGACTCCTGCTCCCACAGCGCACAGAAGCTGCCACACTCCTCTGGGGCCAACACCCCCTCCTGCAGTGCGGCCGGCACACTTCCAGGTTTAGGGCGCAGGGCCCGATTTGGCGGAATGGGGCGAATCGTCCTAAAACCGGCCCTAGTGATGAGCGGCATGCAGAATGGCAGTGGTATGGCGAGAGGCCAACAGATGGATGGTGAGTGACCAGCGGAGCGAGTAAGATGCTTCTTCCCCTCCCCCATTGAGGATGGAAGGGGAACTATGCAGATGCACCTCTGAACTCCGGGTCTGCCCCGACCACGGACAACAACTGTGAATGGGGAACAGAAAAAGGTTGGACCATGTGA